TTATGATTTTTTTTTCTTTCTTTTTTTTTTATGTAATAAAAATGGCATTTAAAAAAAAAAAAAAAAAAAATTTCAAATCGCGAGTAAAAAATTTCCGTTACTAAAAATGATAATGATAATAATAAAAAAAAAAGAAAAGGGATTTAATGTTATTTATCGTTGAAAATGTCGCAATAATAAATTCATTTCGTAAAAAAAAATTAACTTTTTTTTTAATGTCACCACAATTATTTATTATTATTATTATCATTATTATTATTATTATTATTATTATGCACAAATCGAAAAAAAAAAAATTTAGGTTTAAGAGATCAAATTTTTTTTTTTTAAACGTGTTATTAATACTTGGTTATAATATAATATGTGATTTTCATTTGATTTGTCCTTTAACACGATAATAATAATAATAATAATAATATAAAAATTATTCGTGTGTGTTTGTATACTATGAGAACCTATCAGGTACTGAAACAAGGGAATGGTGAAATTAACTTTCAAGGTTTTGAAAAATAAGAAAATTTTTTGTTTTTTACTTTTACAAATCAGACGTGCATGAATGTATAAAGAAAGAAAGAGAAAAAGAAAGAAAAAAATTATATTTTCCTTTCTTTTTCATTTTCACCACATATACACGTTTAATTATTATTATTAATTAAATTTTAGGTTATTGTTGGGTTGGTGTACGTTCAGGTACATTTTGTTACACCTGTCACAGGTGATCGTAATTTATATTAAAAAAAAAAATTACTCTGGAATCTTTATTTTTAATTTTTTACGTGAATACATTCGACATTTTACCAAATACGATATTAACAATAATAATATTTAATTTAAAAACAAACAAACAAACAAACAACTTAAATTTAATTACGTAAAAATCCGTTTGTTTGTCCGACATATAATAAAAAAAATTAAATAAAAATTTTTATTAGTACATTGTAATTATTTGTAAGTAAAAAAAAAATATATATATACATATTTAATTACAATCATAGAGTAATTAAACCGAAAAAAAAGAAAAATTGTTTGTCGTTGCATAAAAAATGATTATGTACATTATGAACTTTTTTGTTTGTTTGTTTGTATCATATTCGTTAATTAAATTAATTTTTTTTTTTTTTCGTTGAGTAATTATATGGGGGGTCATAAGGTAAAGAAAAATTGTGTAAAACAACAACCTTATCAATCATTTTAAAAAAAATTTTATTTTAAATTATTTATGAGTTTATGTTAACCCCCCCCCCCGTTATTGAATTTTCAATTATTTAATATTATTTATATAATTAATCATTATGATGATGATGATGATAATGATAATAATTTAATTTAAAACTTAAATATGTTTTTATACATAATGATTTTGAACTCGAAAACAAAATTCGCGTAGCAAAAAAAAAAAAAAAACGACCAAAAGTTAATAATAAATAATTATTATTATCATTATTATCATTATTATTATTATGTTATAATTGTGTTGTGTCGAAAAAACCCCAACAGGTGTGTGTGTGTGTGTGTGCGTGTTTGAAAAAACTCAACACTTTATACTACCCGAAATATTAAAAAGAAATAATTTTCTCATGCAATTACATTTAATTTTATGTGTGTGTGTGTGTGTGTGCGTGTGTGCACGTGTAAGTATACGCGTATAACTATAATTGATACGTAATAATAATAGTAATAATAATAATAATAATAATAATAATAATAATAATAATAAAGAAAAGTTCATTCATTTTTTTAAAAACATTTTGTTGTGTGTATGTGTGTGTGGAATATTCGTGTCAATACGAAACAATAAAAATATTATTTTAATTACAACGATACGATTAAATGAATTGCAACAAGACGAATTTTCAATTTCACTCGTACCATCTCTCTCTCTCTCAAAAAAAATGATTTTTTTGTTTTTTTTTTCTTTTGTTTGAACAAAAAACATTTTGTGTTTAACGGAACTAAACATCGACCCAGTAAACCGTTTAAAACCGTGATTAGGTATTGTTTCCTCTCCCTCCTCCCCTCAATAAGGACACACCCAAAAATGAGGAAAGAAATGAAGAGGAAAGAACAAAAGAGGGAGAGGGAGGGGTGAGTGAATGGAGAAGAGCAATGGGTTGTTTAGGCACGCGTTAGTAGGCAGCATTAGTTTATTCATTGATATCATTATTATTATTGTTATTTAAAGGTAAAATCGCGTCGGATTATAAAAAAAATTTTTTTAATAAATGAACGTCATTGATTTTTGTCATAATAAAATGTCCGCGGATTAATATTATTATTAAGGAAATAAAATTAATGATAATAATAATAATAATAATATTATGAATTTAAGGTGATGTTTTTCCAAGATGTAAACAATTTTCTTTTTTTAAAATTAGATTTTAATAACTCAATAAGAAATGGTTTTCGGGGGGGAGGGGGGTTAATAATAAGGATAGGATGATTTATTCCACCTTCCCCCCGGAAATTCTCCCAAATTTTTATTTTTTTTGATGATGATTTTACTAGAAATCGAAACATTCGAATTTTTTTTATTCTTTTAAAAAAAAAAAAAATTATTTATTTACCGCAATATTTTAATGAACGTTAACAATTGATAATTAATCACGTGATTATTTATTATTAATTATTATATGATAACGAATAACCGTTAAAATTTTTTTTTTTTTTTAAATCCATTTCAATCAAATATAATTATCGAGTCGTACCTAAAAAAAGAAAAATTAAATAATTAAATTTAATAATAATAATAATAATGATAATGATGATAATAATAATAATAATAATTTAAAATTAGTATTCCATTAAGAATAAAAAAAAAAAAAAAAAATTTATGCGTTCATCTTTTTTTTTTTTTTTTTGTGCGATCTTACGAAATGAAGGATGATGAGAAGAAAAAAGAAATTATTACTGCGTAATATGATTGTATTGAAAATAATAATAATAATAATAATAATAATAATAATTTTGTAATCTTATAGATGAAATATACATAAATGATGATTGTAAAAAAAAATGAATTGGTAGTAATTTGCTGCCCTTTCGGTAAGACATTAATGAAAAAGAGAGAGAGAAAGGACGGGAGGGGGGGGCAAAGAGAGAGGGATTTGTTGTTATCATTATTATTTTTTAACTCCCATCATAAAAGAAAGAAAAACGCGAATTTTTATCATGGCAGTTAACGTGGCAGAAACTTTCGGAATTGATCAAAAAAAAAAAAAAAAAAAATTCACATATGTGACAAGCCCATCGTCACGTAATTAGAACAAAGTTTTTTTTTATTACTGTAATATTTAGGTATAATAAATTTAAGGTACGCTCCCATGGAACACATATGAGGTGTGTTTGTATAAACAAAATAAATTTTTTTGTTTTGTTTTAAGGTCAAAATCATGACTTTTTGGTTTTTTTTTTTTTTTCGGTACCGAAATGCCCTATTTAGTAATTGATGCTGCCATTAGCGAAAAAAAAAAAATCTTTTGTGATGCCTACAAAAAAATAATAATAATAATAATTCAATAATCATTTTTTTACAGTTATTTTATTTTATTTAATTTCATGAGAATGGTAACGGATTTCGTACCCGCAAAAAATAATAATAATAATTTTTTTTTTTCGGTATTCAATCGGGCGTAATAATATTTAACAGTAGGTAGATAGGTAGGTAGCTAGGTAGGTATGAACAGGTAGCTGCTGTTTAAAGCAATTAAACGTGAAAGTTGTAAAGTTTAAAGAAAACAAATTTTTTTTTTTACTTTATTTTCTTTTTCGACAATTAATCATAAAAGGAAATTAATTGTTTAAAAAAAAAACCGGAAATTGTTATTAAAGTGCAAATTTCAAATGCGTATATAACGTTTTTAAATGTTTTTTTTGAATGAATGAATGAATGAACCAGCAGAAATTTATTCGACAGGAATCAAGGTCGATTACCTCGATTAACCCTTTGAGATGTTCCTCCTCCTCCTCCTCCTCATCCTCCCCTCCCCGGCCCCACCCACGGTTTTAAAAAATTCAAATATGGCGTCGAAACGTGTAAATATATCATTTCGTTTTCCCGGAGAAATTTTTCCATATAACTACAATTGTTGTAAATTGTTTTTTTTTTGATAATTGTTTTTTTTTTTTAACGAAGCAGACGACATGAATCGTACCGGAACCGGAAAATACTCTCGTAAATGTTAAAAAACAAATTAACTAATTTTTTTTTTCCATATATGTATAAACATTTGTACGTTTAATTTACTTTTTACGTTTTTATTTCAAACAATGAAAATGTTTTGTTTGTTTGTTTATGTTTTCCGATTGTTCATACTTTTATTATTATTATTATTATTACTTGCTTTTTATAGTTATAAACTAACGAGTTCCTGAAATTAAAAATAAAAAATAAAAAATAAAATGACTTTATATTTATTATTTTCAAACGTCATTTTGTTTTTGTTTTTTAAGGCGTAATTTTTGTTTCGACTTGAAACATTTTTATGTTTTTTTTTTTTTTTTTTAAAAATTGTTTTTGTTTTTAAATAACATAATTTAAAATGAAAAATGGTGCCCTACCCACTTACTAAAAATAAAAAAAAGTTTATTTAATCAGCCTAAAATTTTTAAATGTTTTTTTCAGGTCTCGTAAAAAAAAAATTTAATAATGACAAACATTTTGTTTGTTTGTTTGTTTTTTACAGATTTCTGTTTGCACGGCAAGTACAAGACCAATAGGAAAATCCGAACGTTCCGATACACCAAGTTCGATATTATCATCCGACAGCGATATAAGATTTACAAGAAAATTAGGGGGTCAATATAGGTGCGGTTGTTGCATAATAGCAGGATTTTTATTATTTCTACTAGTAGCCGCACTATCATTTTATTTAGCATGTGAGTTTTTTTTTTTTTTTTTAATTTTTGTTTTTAGAAAGATCATTTACCCCCTCCTTTTTTTTTTTAATTGGCCAACTTTGATGATTTCGAAAAGAAAATTTCACCGTGTAAATAATATTTTCTGATGACACGACGAGTTTTTTAACCATCCGCTTTTTTTTTTTATTCACTTCCACCTTTCATAAAAAACAACTTTATTATATATATATATTTTTTAAATTATTCCGATACTCTCTCTCTCTTTCCTCCATCTTTCTTTTTTATATAAAAAATTATTTTGATGGAAAAAAAACAATCGTGCAATTCACTTTCACCCTTTTCTCGTAACTTTTATTTTTATTTTTTTTTTTATTAAATTCGTGTCGGAAGAATTGACGAGTGTACCTGGTTAGAAATTTTCCTTTTTCTTGTAAATTACATCAACGTGTAATTTGGCACGTATAAATTCAAAAAGAAATAATTTTTTTTCTATAAAAGATTTCCATCTTCTCTTTCTTTTTATTTACATAATCGTTTATTTTTTCTTTATTAACTTATTTTATAGTTTCCCTCCCTCCCCCCTTCTTTTTAATGGCGAGATTTTGTGGCACATACATCAATTTTAAATTCGAACGTAAATAAAAGCAGACGATTATGAAATAAACGATGAGCATTAAAAAATGTAAAAAAAATTACGCCATATTTTTTTCCTAAAGGTATAAAATTCACCACAACTATTTGTTATATATTTTTTTTATTATTCCTGAAGGTTTAAAAAATTAACCTTTCCCTTTCCCTTTTTTTATTAATGCAACCGGGGGAAAATTCAGGTCAAAAAAAATTTCCCCCCCCCTCTCTCTCTCTCTCTCTCCATTCAATGCCAATTTAAAAAAATATTTTTGATTTTTTTTTTATTAAAGGTTAATAATTAAATTATTATTATTATTATTATTACTAAAAAAAGAGGAGGTGGAGGATGAGGAGGAATTATATGAGTTTAAGATTTTAATATGACTTTTGTTGAACTTTCTCATATTTTTTTTAAAAAATAATCTTTTATATATCAAATCAAGTTTAAAGAGAGAATTATTACCTAAAGCGTTTAATTTTACAGTTAACTCATTTCATATAAAAAAAAAGAAAAAAACGTTAAATAGAACAAAAATTATTATTATTATTATTATTATTATTATTATTATTATTATTATTATTATTATTATTATTATTATTATTATTATTATTATTATTTTATTAAACTTTAAACATTTTTTTTATTTTTTTATCTGGCGCAAAAATTTTATTTTTTCGATATAAAATTACTACTTGTCAATATTTATTTATTTATAATGGGTTCACAATATAATAATCGAATTAAATAAATAAATAAAAAATTATTTTTACCTGAATTTTATTAATAAAAAACAAATTTAAATAGAAAAGTTAAGGCCGACAACATTAAAAATGTAAAAAAAAATATACCTTTGTGGAAAAAAAATAAAAAACCTTGAATAAAAAAAATTCTAGAAGAGCATAAGAAAAAGGTTTTTTTTTTTTTTTTTGTAACGGTTATTCGTGATTATGATGGAATATTAATAGGTTAAAAACAAACGAACAAACAAACAAACGAACAAACGAAAAAAATTATTTTTAATATTTTGCATAAAAAAAATATTTAAAAATTTTCTCATTCGATTTTTGTTTACACTCATTTTTTTTCCGGTTTCGAAAAAATGTCGAAAAATTTTCTTTTTTCGAATTTCCTCCTTTTTCTTACCGTGAAGATGTTGATGATAATAATAATATAGAAATTATTCTTTGTTTTTTTTTTTTTGACATTTATTCCTTAATAAGAATAACATATCAAAAGTCATTTTATTAAAATACCCCGTCCTACTTCCGAATTTAATCTATCACGTTTTTAAATTTCCCCCTTCCCCCCTCCTCCTCCCCGCCGCCGTTTCGGTTTATAAAATTCATGTTTTTTCACATATTATTATTATTATTATTTAATTTGTAATTAAACGACATTGAAAATTATATGACACTCATCGATAGTGTTTAGAAAAAAAAAAAAAAAAGGAAAATTGCCGTTTAAAACCTTGATTATGTTGAAAAATTTGGGAGGGAGGGGGGGAAACATTCACTAAACACGTGGGCGAATTGGTAAAAGTTCACAAAATATAAAAAAAAATGTTAAATTTATTGTTTGTTTGTTTGTTTGTCGTACAAAATTTTAACAATTTATATATATTACAAATTAATTGAACTTTGAATGACGTCAGTGTTACGTCATCGTTCGACTAAATTAATTATAAATTAATTTTAATTAAAAAAATGTAAAATGTATAGAAATTAACCGAATTTTCCTTCCATTTTCTATATGTCGACTATTTAATTTATCCTTTTTTTTTAAACTTTCTAATTTTTTTTTTTTTTTTTAAATTCTTTTTAATAAAAGTGTTACGATAATTTTATAAAAACAACGTCAAGGAAAATTTTTAGCACTTGTCAATTTGTTTTCTTTGGGTGAAAGAGAGAGAGAGAGAGCGAGAGAGGGGGGAGGAAAGAGAAAGAACAAATTCGTATAACGTTTTTTTTTTTTATTTACAATTACACGAATGACAAAAAAAAAGTAAAATAAATGGAAAAGCATTACTAAGACAATTAACACTTATTTGGCATTCTAAATGTGCACACATAAACCATACGAAAGAGAGAGAGAGAGAGAATCTTAAAATCCAGGTATATGCGTCAATATATACGGTTTAAGACCTACTTTTATTTCCGTTTAGGTATTTTTTTTTTTTTTTTTTTATTGTTAACCCAGTCTTGTACGAGTTGGACGTTGTTTATTATTATTATCATCATCATCTTATTAATAGAAAACGAATGTGTAATGCGTACCTACGTACCTACGTTGATTTTTTATTTTTTTAATAATAAATAACGGGCGATATATTTTTGTTTTTGTTTTTGTTTTGTCATTATACTGTTATTTCGTGACTTAATACTTAATACCGGTTTTTTATTAAAAAGGTTTTGTTTTTAAGGCACGACCATTAAAAAATTTTTTTTCTCCAAATTTTTAATTCTTTTATTACTTAATAACCACTCAAATTATGTCGAAAGTTTTTTTTTTAATACTTAAAAGCTATGCTCTCGTGGATTTTTTTTTTTAAATATAGAATTCCATTCATAGGCGTGATTAAAAATAAAAATTGTGACATAAATGGCGAAAAAAAAAACTAAGTTAACATTTTCAATTTTTTTTAAAACGTAATAAGATGATTTTTCATTTACGCAATCAAAAATAATTTCCCATGTTTTTACCTTTTGGCCAAACTTGGCATTTGTGTGAGGGGGGAGGGTCAAAATTGTTTTTTTTTTTTTTTTTTTGGTCAAGGAGTTGAAATTTTTTCAAATTTTCCTTTCATTGCATGCGTGTTTGAAATTACTACGAATGCAAATATTTGTTTATTTGTAGAAATTTTTTTAAAAATTTTATTATAAAAAAAAACCTTGATGAAACCTTTTTTTTTGATATGTGATGAGTTAGCCTCAAGGTGTTCTGGTTCATTTATTTTTTTTTTTTTTTACATGGATATTGTTTGCAATGTTTTGTATCAAACTGACCAACCTGAATCCTATTTTGTTTTCTTTTTCCCCAGGACAATTTTTAACAGCTGTTTCAAATTTCATTGAATTTCATTTCATCCAATGTAACAGTTTTTATGATACTAAAAATTTCATTTATCAAATTTATTATCAATCCATCATGTATTATACTTTTTTTTTATTCTACTTTCTTCACTTTCATATATGTGATTTCTCTTTATGAAATTTTTTTATATTTTTCTCATCTAAAACATTAAAAACATTGGATTAAAATCATTCATTCTTTTTCTTTTAAAACTGTGTGGAAAATTAATATTATAATACTCACAAATAATGAAAGCATGAAAAAAAAAATTTTTTTTTTTTTTTATTTAATTACCATTTACAAGTGTATCTTCCACGGTTAACACCTTTCACGATTATTTCAATGAAATAATTATTTGTTCAGACTATAATAATGTTTAAAAAAAGCAATTATTGTAATTTTAATTTCTTTAAATTCAAAAAAAAAATCAATCTTTGAAATGATAATAAATTTTACCATTAAGTTTTTTTTTTTTTTTTTCCTGTTTTATTCAAAGACCAGAAGCTGTAATTTAACGATTTGTGGTTTTATCATGTTGTTTTTATTTTTAAACATAAATAAACAACAACAAGAAGAAAAATTTGTGAGAACCAGGTCAAAATTTTATTTTTGAGAGCCAAAAAAAAATATTTAAATTTACAATTATTATATATAAGAATTAATAAAAATTAGTACAAAAAACTGTCAATAGATTTCGTCATCGTATTTTGACCGTTACAACGTTTCCTTTAATCCTTTTACGTCATTAGCAAAATGGCGGACGGTTTTATTTACACGCATAGTCTTGATTGGAAAATTTTTTTAAAATTGAACAAACGTTTGACGTATTATTAATTACATATTATAGAAAATAAGGTACGTTTAAAAATTTTTTTCTACCTGTACTTGGTTTAAATAATATAATTAACGAAAAAAAATATCAGGTTAATTAAAGAGTAATGACAAATAAAACTTGTTTAATACCGTGTAAAAATATAGAAATTTTTTTTTTTATAAATATTGAAATGATAATAATTACTCTTTATTAAAAAAAAAAAAAAAAAATGAAATGCTCTGAAAGTGTTTTAAATTTTACTTAATACTTACAAAGTATTTCAAACTAGTGAGTGTCGTTAAATAATTTTATATTTCAAATGTTATTATACATTAACACACACACACACACACGGTTTGGAAAAAATGGCGGAATGGCGAAATCCTTTAGAGAATTTTTTACTATTGACTTTTGACATTATGAAAAAAATGTTCGATTTCTTTGAAAATCAATAATAATTTTTTTTTTTTTTGTTCTTTCGATTTGATAAAACTTGTTTTATTATTTTCTTTGAATTATATGTAAGTTTAAAAAAAAAAAATTTATGACTTCCAAGTATATTGTTGTTATGATAATCATCATTTTTCCAAGGGCTGACCAATAATAAAGTTATTGTTACAAATTTGAAATGATACTTTTACTTTTAAATTATAAACAATAAGTCATTAATTTAATAGTAACAATGGTAGCCAATTGATACTACATAAAAAAAAAAAAAATTTGCATTTACCTCGTGTAAAATTCGCACACACACACACACACAAAAAACAAAAAAATTAATTTTAACATTGATATTAATATTCTTTCTATTTAAAAAAAAAATTATTATTTATGAAAGTTACATAAACTTTTTTGTTTTTGTTAATACTAAAAAAAAACATTTTCATAATCCAACGTTGAAAATTTCATAATAATAATAATAATAATAAGTGGAAAAATTTATGTGGGTGAAATGAATCCACACATTGAGAATTTTGTAAAAGAATTTTGAAACAAAAGTTTTCATTTTTAATTAAAAACAAAATGATGCATAAATTTTATTAAAATGTTAATATTCAACAACAACAACAACAAATTGTTTTAAATTTGTGTGTGTGTAATAAATTAATTAGAAAAACATATTTAAAATTATCACAGTTTTCTTCATCTAGTTAAATTCTCATTAACCGTAATTTAACATGTCACATTAAAGTTTAATAGCATTAAAAACATATCATTTCATAATGTAAAAAAAGTAAATGTTTTTTTTTTTTTTTTCTGTAAAAAAATATTATTACAAAATGCAACAACGTGCCTGAATGAAGATAAAAATAAAAAAAAAAACCACCGTAATTATTTTTATTACATTAATTATTTTACTTTTTTTTTTTTTTTTTTTACGAATCCAAACAAATGTTTAAAAACATTACAACGCGCTCGGGCCTGTAATTTTTCACTTTTATCTTTTTAAATAACATAAAAAATTAAATTATTGGGTACAAAATGGACGAATAAAAAAAAAAAGATACTCATGCCATTTTTTTTTTTTTTTTTTTTTTGGCAAGAATTGAATTGAGGTTGGTTTTATTATTGTATTAACCGAGTAACCTTCTTTGTAATCCCGTCCGCCCATTTTTTATTCTTTTGAATCCCCCGGGCATTAAATTTAAATCCCCGCCGGTTTTTTTTCTAAAAAAAATTCCCCCTTATTTATTTTAATTTGAAAAAAAAAAATAATTTTGCCCACTTTATGTCGGTTAAACGCATTAAATGAATTTTAATAATTTTTTTTTTTTTTTTTTTTTTTTATTCTATCACAGACAGCAGAAGAAAGAATCTTCAGGGTTAATTTTAAAGTCACCGATGGAGATTCATACGAAACAAAACTTGCCGATCCATCGACGGAAGATTTTCGAATAAGAGCAAGAAATTATAGAGAGAGACTGAATTTAATTTTTCGAAGGAGTTCACTTCGTCCGGCATTTTTAAAAACGGATATCCTTGCACTTGATGGAAATGAAGGCGAAGATCTTGTCGTGCATTTTAACGTTCATTTCGACGCTAGAAAAATGGCCATCACGACGACAGACGTCGAGGAAATTCTTTCTAAGGAAATCACTTTGGAACAATCACTTTACTTAACGAATCTCACCATTCCCTTAGATAGTTTAGTGATAAGAGAAAATATGGATGATTTGACGACAAATTTACCGGCAACGACAACGATACCCTCGTCCACGACTAAAAGGCCACCGAGACAATGTTCGCCCCTTTCGTTAGAATATTGTTCTAAAATGTCCTACAATACAACGTCGTATCCCAACATCGTCGGTCATTCAAATTATTTTCAAGTTTTAGATGATGTAATTTCATTTAGAGAAATCGTTGATGCAGAATGTTATAGGTTAGCCTATGAATTTGTTTGCCTTATTTTACAACCACCTTGCGAAAAACGAGGCGGTGCGAAGGAGGAGGAGGAGGAGGATTTTTTAGTTATGCCTTGTAGAAGTTATTGTAACGAGTTTATTAAAAACTGTGGAAGTCGAATTTCATCTAGATTTATGAACTTCTTAGATTGCACGAAATTCAGTGAATTCAGTGATACCGGAATTTGCGTACCGAAACCGAATTGTGTTGAAGAATTACAATCGCAGGGATTGGAATCGCGTTTATGCGATGGTGTCATCGATTGCGTGGATATGTCGGATGAACTATCATGCAGCTATTGCCAAGAAGGATTTATGCATTGTGGAGTTGGTCGAACTTGTATTCCGTTAGAGAAAAAGTGCGACGGTGTTGACGATTGTCCAAATGGTAGCGATGAGAAAAACTGTCGTAAGTTTACTACTACAGCTCATCGAATTTTTTTTTTTTAGTCAGCACAAAAGTAATTTTTAATAATTCAACTTTCAGTTTCCGTATTACCATCGATGTCGGCTTCGAAAAATTTCATAAATTCTCCTCATACGCACAGATATTTTGATTCTGGACTTGTGACTTACAACAGAAATGGTCAAGTTGGAAAATTGTGCGTGGATAATTTTAATGTTACTAACGAAGATGAAGAAGAATCAAGGGAACTCCAAGACTTGGCTGACTCATTATGTCAGTTGACCCCATATAAAAAAGTTGGTGGTATTTTATATATAACCTTCGAATAAAAAAAATTCAATTGAATTTCCTTTATTTTGAATAATTATGAAAAATGTAATTTTAGGCTGTTAGCTACAAAGTTAAAAAAGACAAAGAGACTGATTATTTGCTTTATGTTCAAATGGTGGATGAAAATAAGTTTGTTCCTTCCGAGTGTCCAGATAAAAATATACTTCAAGTAAAATGTAAAGATTTGCGGTGCGGCGTTCAAGTTTTGCATTCGAAACCGGGAGTTGAAGGGCTTAACAAAATGGCAAGCCATGGGGATTGGCCGTGGCATGTAATACTCATGAAAGACAACGTTCATTTATGCGATGGAACTTTAATATCCCAAGACTGGGTGTTAACCTCAGCTTCTTGTTTTCAAGGGTAATCAGATTTTGATTTTAATCATGTATTTCTATAATTATAATAATGTTTTGGGATTATTGTGTGAGACTGGTTGTTATTGTCATTTTTGAAAATCCGATTACTGATAATTGATTTCTTTCACGACTTGTTTAACTTATGTAAGAAGAATAACAAATAAAACAACCTACTTAATTTTTTTTTCACAGTCAACAAAAAGCTGTGTGGGTTGCACGGCTCGGAAGTGTAAGACTGAGCAGTTCTTCACCCTGGGATCAAGAAAGACAAATAATAGGAATGTTAAAATCTCCCGTAGAAGGGAGTACATTGGTTTTGCTCAAATTAAACGAACCCGCAATTTATTCAGATTTTGTTAGGCCAGCCTGTCTTCCTGATACATCCGTACCTATGGAAAATTACACTTATTGCACTACGTTAGGTTGGAATACCAACAGTAAGTTACAAAATTTTTCGCATTAAATTGAAATTCGCACGTGCAACAACATGGAAATGGTTTTTATTTTTTTGTAGGAGAACAATTGCAAAGAATTGATGTAAAAATGACACAAATGGCGCCATGTGAAAACATAAGCATAACAACGGTTAACAGTTTGTGTGCTGAATCATTTTATTCTGAAAGAGATTGTAACGTATGTTCACTAAAAATTGTGAAATTTAAAAAAAAGAGAAAATTTTTCTCGCAAAAATTATTTAAAAAATTTGTTTTTAGGAAGAAGAATTTGCCGGAAGTCCAATGTTGTGTTTATCTCTTGAACAACAACAGTGGCACCTTATTGGTGTAAGCAATTGGAGAATAGCATGTCAAAAATTGGGAACCGAAAGACCACGTCTATACGATAAAACTTTATCAAATCTCGAATGGATAAATGAAACCATTTTTAACGGATGAAAATTTCTTTTAAAACGTTTTTTATATTTTTTTTCATAAAATAACTTTAAAGACTGTGATCTTAAAATAATCACAAAAATATTTAAATTTTATATCTTTTGTCAACTTATTAGTTATTGTTTTTTTTTACTTTTTTTTTATTATTATTCGTACTTAAAGATATTACGGGGATCTCATCAATTGATGCATTTTGTTTTATTCTTTTTTTTTTTTTTCATTAGTTTTTCTTTTCTTTTTCTTTTTTTTTTTAATCATAATTAATATACATTATTGTTGTTAAATTTATGTTTAATTTTTTTTTTTCTCTAGAAAATAATTTAAAAAAATTTTTTACTTAATAAACTGGTAAAAAAAAAAAAAAAAAGTGAATGAATACTTAAAGTTTACGGATATTGAATTATAAAAAAAATCAACTTATTAAGATTTTTTAAATAAAATTTCCTTTAATCTTTAAAAAAATTTACTTAATGAATAAAAATAAAATGGAAAAAAACATAAAACTGATAATATGAGTGTAAAGGACATTCGATAAAAAAAGCGTCAGCAAATTATGTTCTGCATCATTTATAATTTATAACTACTTCTACATTGTAACGGTATTAATTTTTTTTTATCTTTTTTTAATAAATAAAATTTTCTTTTTGAATAAAAAATATTTTTGATGATTATTTTGGCTTATTATAAAAATGTTTTTAAAATTTAGTTTCTAACTTTTAAAATTAAAGGCGGTTGAAATTTGTAGTTGGTAACAGAAATATTTATTATTTCAATGTTGGCAGCGTTAAAGTATATAGAGGAAAATTTCAATGGTGGCGGCTGAGTACCGGTTTTCTCAACGTAGCTAGATAAAAAAAGGTTATTATTGAATGAAGCTTGATTCTGTTTCAGTTTTAAATTTTTTAATTTTAAACTATCGATAATTTTAAATATTTGATTCTTGAAATGTGTTTAAAAAATCAAGAAATTCCCGGATATGTATTGTTGGAAAATGGAACTTTTCTCAGGGGATATCTTTTTGGAGCTGATATTGAGGCACATGGCGAAGTTGGTAAGACTAATTTGTAAAAAAATCAAAAAACTTGAATTTACACGTCTTATAGTAAATCATTTCTTTAAAATTTTATTCAGGTTAGAGTTTAGACTAAAATTTTATTTTAATTTTTTAATAGTTTTTCAAACTGGAATGGTCGGATACCCAGAATCTTTAACCGATCCTTCCTACCATTCTCAGATACTTGTCCTAACTTATCCGTTGATTGGTAATTACGGAGTGCCTGAATTAGTAAATGACAAATATGGGATTCCTACAAAATTTGAATCTCATAGAATTTGGGCGGCCGGATTAGTTGTGGGAGAATATTGTGATACCCCCAGTCATTGGGAAAGTGTCAGGTCTTTGTCCGAATGGATGAAAGCAGAAAAGATTCCAGGAATTAGTGGAATCGACACTAGACAGCTAACTAAATTACTTAGAGAAAATGGTAGCACTTTAGGTAAAATATGTATAGGATTACCTCCAGAAGACCCTCTCAACCTATGTTTATCAATGAAAGATCCAAATCAAGAAAATTTAGTTAAAGAAGTGTCCATCACGCACCCTAAAGTATATAACGAAGGTGGATTTCCAAGAATTTGTGCAGTTGATTGCGGTTTAAAAAATAATCAATTAAGATGTTTCATAAAGAGAGGAGCATGTGTTGAAGTAGTGCCTTGGAACTATAAATTTGATATAAATAATTTTGATGGACTTTTCTTGTCGAACGGTCCAGGAAATCCTGAAATGTGTAAAGAAGTTATTAATAACTTGAAAAGCATTTTAAATTCGCATATTGTTAAACCAATATTTGGAATTTGCCTTGGACACCAACTTTTGGCCACTGCTATAGGATGTAACACTTACAAAATGAAGTAAAAATCTAAATGAATTTTATTATTTAAAAAATTTTTAATATAAAAATTTTATTACAATTTTTTTTAATTTTTCAGATATGGTAATAGAGGACATAATCAGCCTTGCATCCATGGAGAAACTAGAAAATGTTTTATGACTAGCCAAAATCATGGATTTGCTGTTGATGTAACTAATCTACCAAAAAATTGGAATATTTTATTTACAAATGCAAACGATTGTTCTAATGAAGGATTAGTGCATTCAACTCTGCCATATTTTAGGTATTCAGTCTACAGATAGTTAAGGTTTTTTTTTTTTTTTTTGCATCAAGTTTAAAAATTAATATTTTCTTTTACTTTCTGTGTGTGTGTGTTTTTTTTTTTTTTTTTTTACTTTGGTTTAGTATGTGTGTGTGTGTGTGTGATGCTTTTAATTTTAACCTTAAAAATTGCATTGAAAATTTTACTTTTATTTATTAAACTTTATTTTTCAGTGTTCAATTTCATCCTGAGCACACATCAGGTCCTGAAGATTTAGAGCTTTTATTTGATATATTCTTAGATTCAGTTAAAGCATATAAATCAGGAATCACTGTTAAACCTCTTAAAGAAAGCATAACTAAAATTTTTTCCTATACACATCACCCTTTGCCCAGACCGAAAAAAGTTTTGTTGCTCGGGAGTGGTGGCTTGTCTATTGGACAAGCCGGTGAATTTGATTATTCTGGCTCTCAAGCAATCAAAGCTTTAAAAGAGGAAAAAATTCAAACCGTTTTGATAAATCCTAATATAGCTACCGTACAAACCTCTAAGGGCCTTGCTGATAAAGTTTATTTTTTGCCTTTGGAATGTGAATATGTTGAACAGGTACAGTATTTATTTCAATCCAAATTAAAAAAAAAAAAAAATTGAAATAATGAACCTTAAATTTTTATAGCCCTGTAAGTGTTCTTCTGGTTTTTAGAAAGATAAATTAGATTAGTGCATGAATTAGTTTTCTTTATTTTGGCATTGTAATATCTTTGAATTAAAAATAAGAATGCTTTTTTTTTTTTATATTTAAAATTAATACTTGTTTTGCTTTTATTAATGAATTTGCAATAATAATAATATTTTTTTTATACATATTTTAAGTTAATGTAATTTGTGCATTTATTTCATAATGATTTAAATTTTATTTTATTTTACAGGTGATACGATGCGAAAGACCTGATGGTATATTATTAACGTTTGGTGGGCAAACAGCATTGAATTGCGGTGTCGAAATGGAACGAGCGGGAATTTTCGAAAAATATGGAGTTCGAATTCTAGGTACTCCTATACAATCCATAATTGACACGGAAGATAGAAAAGTTTTTTCGGAAAAAATACAACAACTCGGTGAAAAAGTTGCTCCAAGCGCGGCTGTTTATTCAGTCTCAGAAGTACTGTATTTCACATTATTTAATTTTTATAACATAAGAATAAAATGTATAATAAATAAATTTTTTTTTTTAGGCGTTGGAAGCGGCCGAAAATTTAGGATATCCTGTCATGGCTAGAGCTGCTTATTCTCTCGGAGGTTTAGGTTCCGGTTTTGCTCACAATGAAAAAGAATTGACGTTGTTGGCCCATCAGGGTCTCACGTATTCTAAGCAGTTAATTATAGATAAATCGTTAAAAGGTTGGAAAGAAGTAGAATACGAAGTTGTCAGGGATTCTTATGATAATTGCATCACCGTCTGCAACATGGAAAATGTGGATCCTCTTGGAATACACACTGGAGAATCGATTGTCGTTGCTCCTAGTCAAACTTTAACAAACAAAGAGTACAATATGTTAAGAACGACTGCAATCAACGTCATACGTCATTTCGGTGTTATTGGTGAATGCAATATTCAATATGCACTCAGTCCGAACAATGAAACTTATTACATAATTGAAGTGAATGCCAGGTTGTCCAGGAGTTCTGCGTTAGCCAGTAAAGCGACCGGTTACCCTTTGGCTTATGTCGCTGCCAAATTAGCACTTGATATCGCTTTGCCCGATATTAAAAATTCAGTCACCGGAGGGACAACCGCATGTTTCGAACCTAGTCTTGATTATTGTGTCGTTAAAATTCCACGATGGGATTTGGGTAAATTTTCACGAGTAAGCACTAAAATTGGTAGTTCAATGAAAAGCGTGGGAGAAGTTATGGCTATCGGAAGGAAATTCGAAGAAGCTTTCCAGAAAGCAATGCGAATGATGGACGAAAACATGTTGGGTTTCGATCCGTATCTTAAGGCTCCGTCAGAGGAAGAATTGGAACAACCCACGGATAAAAGAATGTTTGTTTTGGCCGCGGCACTCAAACAGGGTTATTCGATCGATCGTTTATACGAACTCACGAAAATTGATAAATGGTTTTTACACAAAATGAAAAACATAATTACCTTACAGAATGAGTTGGAAACGGTTTCAACTGGAGAATTGACCTCCGATTTACTGTTAAAAGCTAAACAATTTGGATTTTCCGATCGACAAATAGCTTGCTTTATAAAAAGTACAGAAGTGGCCATTAGGAAAACAAGAGAAGAAAAAAGTAAGTATTTCAATTTTATTTTGTATTTGTATTTATTATTTCACATTCGCAAAAAGTCTTAAATATTTTTTTTTAAATTAAAAATAAATCCTTTTTTCTTACAAAATATAAATGGTGTCTAAAAAATAAGTTTGTTCATTCAAAACGAAGCTTTTATAAAAAAAAAAAAAAAAAAAATAAGTTTTAGAATATTAAACACCCTGTACCATTTCTAGAATCCTTTGAGGCAAAGAAGTTAAGATGGGAAACCTGAAAACCTGAAAGAGAGAGAAAAAAAAAAAGGAGATTTTGCTTGTTTGTCTGTCCTTGTTATTTGACATGTAAAGTTTTTTTGTATGAGTACAAGGAATTCCTGCAAGATTATCATTATCTACTTCAGTGGTGCATTTCCCAATGTAAAAAATTATTAAGGTGGAATGTTAATTATTTGTTATGCTTTTGCTTTGCTTTTGTTTTTTTTTTTAATCCTAATTTAGCGAGGTAGGCATGTCTCGTGCTGATTAAATATATATATATATTTGTATTTATTAATACAATATTATTTTATTTAGTTATTTGATTAAAATGTGATTATATACTTGGCCTACTTTATTAGCTCTGCGTTCTAAAAAATAAATTAAATTTGTTAAATTACCACACGTATTAATATATTTGGAAATTTTCTTTTTTAGAACTTACTCCTTTTGTTAAACAAATCGATACGGTTGCAGCAGAATGGCCTGCCGCCACAAATTATTTATATTTGACATACAATGGATTTGCACACGATTTACCTTTTCACGGTGGATATACAATGGTTTTGGGATCTGGTGTTTATCGTATAGGAAGCTCGGTTGAGTTTGATTGGTGTGCGGTCGGTTGTCTAAGAGAATTATCAAAATTGGGAAAAAAAACGATAATGGTCAATTACAATCCCGAAACTGTGAGCACGGATTACGATATGTGCGATAGATTGTATTTCGAAGAAATTTCCTTTGAAGCCGTCATGGATATTTACAACATTGAAGATCCAGAGGGTATCATATTGTGCATGGGAGGACAATTGCCTAATAATATTGCCATGGATTTGTACAGGCAGAGAGCCAGGATTTTAGGAACGTCTCCGGAAAGAATCGATGATGCCGAAAATCGTTATAAGTTTTCTAGGCTTTTGGAGTCTCGGAAAATTTCTCAGCCCAGGCAATTATTATATTACGTATATTTTTTTTGCGGAAAATTTAATTTTATTTAAATTGTAATGCATTTATTTTAGGTGGAAAAATTTAATCGACATAAATTCGGCCATTGAATTTTGCGAAACCGTCGGTTATCCGTGTTTGGTTCGTCCATCATACGTCCTGAGTGGTGCCGCAATGAATGTTGCTCATTCTGCTAAAGATTTAGAGGATTTTTTAAAATCAGCAATAGAAGTAAGCAAAGATCATCCGGTTGTAATTTCAAAATTTTTATTGGAAGCCAAGGAAATCGATGTGGATGCCGTAGCGTGCGACGGAGAAGTTTTATGTACTTATCATGATATTTAGTGATCTATTTTTTTTCTCAAAAAAAAAAAATATTATCTGATAAGATTTTAATTTTTAGGCATGGCCGTGTCTGAGCACGTTGAAAATGCTGGAGTTCATTCAGGAGACGCTACGCTTATGACACCATCACAAGACATAAACGCTCAAACTTTAAAATCCATTGAATCGATAACTTGTGAAATAGCCTCTGCCTTGGAAATTACGGGACCGTTTAATATGCAACTGATTGCAAAGGTTTTTCGACTTCCTTTCAAACTTATTAATGAAATCGGTGTGATATTAATGAAAAATCTTATTTTCAGGACAATGAGTTAAAAGTCATAGAATGCAACTTGAGAGTATCCAGATCGTTTCCGTTTGTTTCAAAAACTTTGGATCACGATTTTGTTGCAATGGCCACTCGCGTGATCGTTGGAGAAACAGTCGAACCTGTTGACGTACTTCGCGGATGCGGAAAAGTCGGCGTCAAAGTACCTCAGTTTTCATTTTCCAGACTTGCCGGTGCCGACGTAATGCTCGGAGTTGAAATGGCTTCAACTGGAGAAGTTGCTTGTTTCGGAGAAAATCGTTACGAAGCGTATTTAAAAGCCATGATGAGCACAGGATTCAGGATACCGGAAAAATCAATTTTGCTTTCCATCGGAAGTTTCAAGGTAAGCAAATTTAAAAAAAAAAAAAAATTTTTTTTTTTTTTTATTATTTTCTGGTGTCATTGAAAAAAAATTTTGTTTTAAATTTTTAGCACAAAGTTGAGTTACTTCCCAGCATGAGAGCTTTGCACATGATGGGTTACAAATTATACGCAAGCATGGGAACAGCTGATTTTTATACGGAACAAGGAGTTAGCGTAAGTCAAACAAAATTAATTATTTTTTTTTTCTACTATATTGTTTAAAATTATTACTACCCGTTATAATTTTGTACTGTAGCATTCGTCGTTCATTTTTATTATTTCAATGTTTTCTTCTTGGCACTGTTTAGCACCGGTATTCGATTTAGAATCGAAAAATTTTAAATCGTTATTTTCTTCCTCAGAAATCGAAGAATTTCCATTACTCTCAATTGTGCCCCTTAAATTTTGTTTTTCAAACTCTTTCTTATTTTTTATTATTAAGCCTTTTAGTTCAAAATAATTTTCTTGAAGTTTTTTGAATTTTCTCATTAAACTTTCAAGTTGTAAATTTTGCTTTGCTGTTGTTGCTGTTGTTGTTGTTGGAAACAGGGTGAATAATTTATTAATTTGATATAAATATAATTCGGCTTGATCTAAATCTTGGTATGAAATGCTTTTAAAGCCCATGTTTAAAAAGTGTGAAATGAAAAAATTTAACAATTCTTGAATTTGTTGGTTATCGAAATGCAGTGGAGGAGGAAGGGTTTCAATATCGATGGATTCGGTTGATGATTCCATAATTCCATATTCTTCATCCATGTCTCTTTCCATTTGTTTATATATGCTTTTCCGCCATTGAGTTTCTCGCTTCTCGAGTTCGAACGAACGAGTTTTGGGAATAATTTTAATTTCTTTTTCCTTCCCCGTTTTCGTTTTAGGCGGAGTAGTTGTAAAGTGGTTTTTTAAAATATCATTCAATCGGGATGCGTCAAAAGGTTGATAAAAATTTTGGCTCAATTGTAAATTACTCACGGCTTTCATGACGTAAGGCACGGGATTGTCTAATATTTTTTTTATCATGGATTGAGCTTTATGCAAATCTTTGGCGTAAGAATTTCCGAATAAATTTCTCGATTTGAAAAAAAAATCCGGCATGAATTTGTTTCTCAAATACTTGTAAAGAGTTTTCAAAAAGCTCAGGAGAGTTTCTCCGAGCGTGTCGTCGGACCAAGCCAAAAAATTTTTTTGTATTTTCCAAAAGAGCAAATGTAGTAAATGTTTGGGTCCGAAACTGTAAGAATTGGTTTCGGTTTCGAGAAAGGATTTGTAAATGGTCAATAGGAAAAAATAACATCGGAGATGCGTGTGCATCGTGTGCAATAGTAAATATTCTTCGGCTTTGGGAAATTCAATTTTCCATTCTTTTTCGTAATCTGAATTTTCTTCGAATTCGTCGAACCATCCGACGGGTACCAGATTACAAGTCAACCCGAGTATGTAGTTTTCCATTTCGTCCGAAGGCCATTTGATACTTTTCACTGTTTCATCCATTCTCGGTTTTACATTCTGTTTGATGTGCTTATTCCAATCGGATATTTTTAAAACGGGAGTCACGTGATTTATGAACACATCATTTTGTTTAACAATAACGAATTCCTTTTGCACGAGACTCTCGTTCAAGGTATCATTATCGAAATTTAATTCTTCGCTTAGATGCTCGATCAACAGGTCGCAGAAAAATCCTTGAAATGCTGAAGCGTTTAAAACTATTTTAGTTTTGAAAAAACTGTCTATTATGTTCTTGCGAAAAATGTTTTTCGTTTCCGAACTGTACAATTGTTTGTCTTCGACGACTTGAAAACATTTTTTCGGTATCACGTTCGGATTGGGATGATTTTGATTTTGGTGCATTCGAAATTCGTTTATTTTTTGAAAATTTGTTTTGCTCGATTGATTTTTAGATCTGTAGTAAACGTTGTGCGGCATGAATCCTTCCATGAGTGCGTGAGATGGTTTTAATAAATTTTGCCTTTCGGTTTTACCCAGAGTGATTTCTTTGTGTAATTGTGCAGACGACGGCGGTTTTTCCATTTTCGTCGGTCTTCGAGCTCTGAAATCGAAAATTGATTTTCTTTGCTTGCTTATTTTATTTCCGTGCCTTTCGTAGTGTTGTTGATTTAGCTCATGCGAATCCTTAGCAAAAATTGCCTTGTTCGAATCTTTTAATAATTTTGTTTTGTATTCTTTTAAATAAACGTAGCCTGCATGTTTCCCGTGAAAAAAAAAAAAAAACATTAATTATGGTTTGACGTATTTTTTTTACCAAATTATTTCAAGTTTGATATTTAAATTAATTAATTTTAATGTACCTGATTTTTCCTTTTTATCATTATCGCACGGAGTTACCGTTAGTTGGTAGTAAGGTACCGATGACGGTTTGCACTGATCCAACACCGACGGATCATAAGCGGTGTATAAATTATTAAACGAAACGAAAATACGAAGGGGATGCAATAATTGTTCCAAATTTTTCTTTTTACCATGACGAAACCTGAATTTAACATTTTTCCCAACCAATTTGTGTACGGAATCTAAATAAAGACACGACGTATTCCCGCCATTTTTCAATTCTTTTTCTTGGAACAAATTTTTTCGTAAAATGTGAATATCTCTGAATAATCGCAAAAAAAAAAAAAAAAATGTTACTTTTCTTTTTTCGATGATGATTTCAAGTATTTTCATTTCGCTTGGAGTAAAAAAACCTACCTTTCATAATTTTCAAAAAATTGTATGCTTAAAAGAACATTATTCAAAATAAAATTTTCAGATTTTTCCTTAAAAGGAAAATCTCCATCTTCTTTTTCTACATTTGAAATTAAATTCACCCCCTGTTGATCCGTACCAACGTCATTTATTATTTCGTTTGTTTTTTCTTTTCCCGGTAATTCTCCATATTTAATTTTTTCAACGTTCATCACGTTTATATGTTAACATACGTAACCGGAAAAACGGTTTCTACTATTAGGCAGAAGCTAAATTTATTATTATTATTATTATTATTGTTGTTGTTGTTGTTTTAACTTGATAAGATAAATCCTATCTTATTGCTTGTGTTAATCCTTAACAAGGAGCTAACATTGTATCACAATATATCGTCACACAAATATTATTAGTATTATTATTATTATTATTATTATTTTGAAATTATAGTTAAAGCTATCTTTTGTCAATACATCACTAATGAAAAATTTTTATTTATTTATTTATTTATTTTCGTATAACAAGGATTAAATAAAAACGCAGCTATCTTGATTTTAAAGAATTAAATATTATTTAAAAAAAAAAATTATTGATAGGCAATAGATCATTTTGTCTTAAAATTGATATTTTTTATTTATTTATTTATTTATTGCGTATTATTTATTTTAATCCTTACTCATGAAAATTCATAAATTTTAGGTTGAACCCGTTCAATGGACTTTTGAAAATATCGGAACCAGAGGTGAATTAAATCATTTATCGGATTACCTTGCGAAAAAACAATTCGAACTCGTTATTAATTTGCCCATGAGAAATGGCGGAGCGAGAAGAGTTTCTTCGTTCATGACCCACGGTTATAAGACGAGACGTCTCGCCGTCGATTATTCAATTCCTTTAATCACGGACGTCAAGTGCGCCAAACTTTTGGTTGAGGCTTTGTTGAAAATCGGAAGAGCTCCCCCGATGAAAACTCACACGGATTGTTTGTCCAGTCGTCAGCTCGTTAGATTTCCAGGATTCATCGATGTTCACGTTCATTTACGAGAACCCGGAGCGTCTCATAAGGAAGACATATCGTCGGGAACGGCAGCTGCTCTTGCCGGCGGAATAACTTTGGTTTGTGCTATGCCCAATACGAATCCGTCCGTGACCGATCATAAATCTTTGGAATTGGTTAAAGAGGTACCACGAGTTGAAATTGGAATCTCTAGTTAGAAACTGTTGGAAACTGTTTTGAAAACTTTACATTTTTTTTTTTTTTTTTTTGTTTTTTTTTCCAGTTGGCTCAAAAAAATGCAAGATGCGATTACGCGTTATTTTTAGGCGCTTCATCAGAAAATTATAACATTATTCCAGAACTGGAATCCCAATCGGCGGGATTGAAAATGTACTTGAACGACACGTTCACGACTTTGAAATTGAACGATTTAACGGTTTGGTTAAAACATTTCGACAGTTGGCCCAAACATAGTCCCTTGTGCGTGCACGCGGAAAGTCAAACGACGGCTGCAGTTTTACTATTGGCCACCCTTCATAATAGACCCATACATATTTGTCACGTGGCTAGAAAAGAAGAAATTCAAATTATAAGAGCGGCTAAAGAAAAAGGATTACCCGTGACTTGCGAAGTTTGTCCTCATCATTTATTTTTAACCGATAATGATATTCAAAGGATTGGCGAGAAAAAAGGAAGAGTCAAACCGGTTGTAGGAACTTTGGAAGATCAGCAAGCCTTGTGGGATAATTTGAAATTTATTGATGTCTTCGCCACTGATCACGGTTCGTAAAGTTAATAAAAAAAAAATAAATGGTGTATTAAAAGGTATGAAAAAAAATGAAATTTCATTTTTTTTGTTAAGCTCCTCATACCGAAGAAGAAAAATGTCAGGCCAATGCTCCTCCCGGATTTCCAGGTTTGGAAACCATTCTTCCCCTCCTGTTAAATGCCGTGAATGAAGGACGTTTGACTAAAGAGGATTTGATCAATAAATTCTATAGAAATCCTAAAAGGATTTTTAATCTTCCGGATCAATATAACACGTACGTGGAAGTAGACATGGACGAAGAATGGGTCATACCCGATTACATGCCTTTTAGCAAATCCAAATGGACTCCGTTCGCGGGTATGAAAGTCAAGGGAGCCGTCCATAGAGTAATTCTTAGGGGAGAAACTGCTTATGTTGATGGTAAAGTACTGGTTAGTAAAATTTTCAATCGATTTTTTATTAAACCTTTTTTTTTTGCCTTTTATAAAATTTTATAACGATATGTTTGAATAAGGTTCCGCCCGGATTCGGTTTGGACGTTAAAGGTCTGCAGTACAGAAAAGTAAATCACGATCAGTTGATTGAAGGACATAGAAAATTTCATTTCGATGGTATGTCAAGTTGCAAATTGGAAACGCCTGCAATGTTGGACGAATTAAAAAGCAAAGATTTGGGAAGGAGTTTAGACGGTTTAGAATCAGGTACAATTTTTGCGAGTTTTCAGTCGGATAATTTTCATTTTTTTTTAAAAACAATTCTTAAATTGATTCAGGTACGACAAAATTAAGCGTCGACGTACATTTTTCTACATCACCTAAAAACATTATGGAATTTGGGGGAGGAGACGCAAAACCTCAATACCAACAATATTTATCTCCGTCTCTTAGCCACGATTTAAATCGTTCAAAAAGTGTTTCAAATCCCAATTTGTACGGCCCGCATTTACTTTCATCTTCTTCCGTCGGTCAAAGTTCTTCGCACAATTTGGCAGGACAACATATATTGTCCGTGGACACATTCACGAAAGATAAACTCAACGATTTGTTCAACCTGGCACGAAGTTACAGGTTTTTGGTGTTGAAAGAACGACCTCTGTCGCACGTCTTGAAGGTAGGAAGAGTATTTTTGATTTCAAATTTAAATCTGGGCAATTCCATTAAAAATATTTTTTTTGTATTTAGGGTAAAATAATGGCCGCGGTTTTTTACGAAGTGAGCACACGTACAAACTGCAGTTTTTCCGCAGCCATGCAAAGACTCGGAGGAACTGTCATTCACATGGATTCCGTGAGTTCTTCCGTTAAAAAAGGGGAATCCCTTGAAGATTCAATAACCGTAATGGCAAGTTATTCGGACGTTGTCGTTTTAAGACATCCCGAACCGGGAGCCGTCGGGAAAGCTGCCGCGACGTGTCGTAAACCTTTGATAAATGCCGGAGACGGAGTGGGAGAACATCCGACTCAAGCGCTTTTGGATGTATTTACCATAAGAGAAGAAATAGGAACCGTGAACGGATTGACAATAACCATGGTCGGGGATTTGAAGAACGGTAGAACGGTGCACTCCCTCGCCAGGCTTTTGACATTGTATAACGTTCAATTGAAATACGTTAGCCCTCCCGGTTTGGGAATGCCCGAAGAAGTTATGAATTACGTGGGTGAAAAGGGGATACGCCAGGAACAATTACAATCATTAGAGTCCGTTCTCCCCGACACGGACGTTCTTTACATGACGAGAATACAAAAGGAAAGATTCAATTCGGAAAAAGAATACGAAGAGGTAATATTCGAATTGAAATTATTAGCAAACCCATTTTAAGATTTAAAACTATTATAATAATAATGATAAAATCAAAATATTTTCAGGCGTGTGGAAAATTCATAGTCACTCCACAATTGATGACGAAAGCAAAACGAAAAATGGTCGTTTTGCATCCTTTGCCGAGGGTATTCGAAATAAGTCCAGAATTCGATACGGACCCCCGGGCCTGCTACTTCAGACAAGCTGAATACGGTATGTACGTAAGAATGGCACTTTTAGCCATGGTTTTGGGAAGGTCATAAATAATATATAATTTACTAATCAGGATTTTACACGTGCAATTTTTTTATTATTTTTTAAGTTTTATTTTTTATTTTTATTTTTAATTTTTACGCATAAACTCGATGAAATTAAAAAAAATTAGGTCGAAAGCATTTCACAAAAGACTGATATAAAAAAAATTTACAAAAAATTGTTAATTTAAAGTCGAGAGACACGCACACGCGCGCACACACACTCACACACGTGGACATCGGTTATAAGGTTACCGAAGTTCAGTGTTATCTAAATAACTTTAATTCTTTACATGACACATTATTTCTTATTATTATTATTATTAAAACGCGTAAATTTGTAGTCAATGTGATAGTTTTGCTCAATTTTATTATACAATTTTATATTTATATATTTTATATCGAACAAATTTTTTATCAGGGGTTATAGTAGATAGATAGTAAGGAATTATTATATTTTATTTTATTAAATTAATAATAATAATAATTAAATTTTAAATTTTATTGTATTTTTTTATAAACGAGCCAACTGTCGTATCCGTGAACGATTCCGACGATAAATCCGATAATCTAAAAAAAAAAAAAAGGAAAAGAAATTATTATTATTATTATCACCAGGATAGGTTTGTGATCGATAATAATGATATTAATTACTCACGTATATCGAACTCATGGTTGGAAAAGCTTGAAAAACTGACGTGATTTTATATAGGGGATAAAGGAAAGTGTATAAAGCAAATGCAAAATAACTCGACGAAGATAAATACATGAATGATACGATTCCGTTGAATAAAGTTTCCTAAAAATAATAATAATAATAATAATAATAATTGTACCTGGGATAGTTTTTGAAAAAAGGAGTTATGTCGTTTATTATAGTACTTACGAATAATGATTGACGTAATAATTGATAGGATTTATTTGATAAAAGGTAACATAAAAGTAATACGGTCGATGTTAGTATACCGGCTGATATTGTTGTTAGAAAACTATAATAAGATGAACCCAAAGTCATCGAATAAGTTAAACTATAATGAATTAAAAGATTTTGACAAATTAATCCTAATATCTGGAAAATAACAAACAAAAAATTATTGATGGTAACTCTTGCAATCAATTAAATTTTTTTACAAAATAATAACATAAACTTACTTACAATTTCAAATAATTTAATAATTCCTTCTTTCGTTTTCAATATATTAAAATTAACACAAGAACAACATTTAAACAAACAACAACCGCAAGGATTTTGAGGCGACATTTTTGTAAAATTCTTACGGGATTTACATACAACGCGTCACTATATTTTTTTTCTTCAATTCATTTAAATTTAAAATAGTTATAATAATAATAATAATTTCGGAGGTAAAAAAAAAAAAAAAAAAAAAAAAAAAATCTATTTCGGTGATATTCCAGTCCCCAACAGAGAATCCCCAAATGAGGACGACTATGAGGATGTATCGCAAATAGTATAACTTTAAATTTTTAGGCGTTAAATTATAAACAAACAAACTTGCACACATAACGATCCGGTTTAATTATAATAAATTAATAAATAATTTTTTTAAAATACATTTATTAATAAATAAAATTATAATACACAACATAAATAAATAAATAATAAAATTTTCATACGTTTTTTTTTAAATTATTTGAAAATTGATAATAATAATAATTTAAACAAATTACTCTCGATAATGAAAAAAAAAAAAATGTTATTTAAATAACGAAAAAAATAAAAAATTTAATAAATATATTTTTATAAAGCTATATTACCAGCATATTTTATTAAATAAATAAATAAAAAAAAAACATAATACTTATGCGTGTAAAAAAAAAAATTAGCAGTGAATCGGCAGCATTCAATGCAAGAAAAAGAAAATTATTATTATTATTATTATTTATATCATATATCGGTGCAGGTACAATCAATATATATCACGGTGTAAATTCTATTAAATACAAAAAAAAAATTACGTAGACATTGCATGACATATTAAAAGTTTTTTTTATTTGTTTTAGCAACGTTTTATTGTAACCCCCCCCCCCGCCATTTTGTGATTTTTAATTAATGTCTCACTCGGTGTTAAGAAAAAATAAATTTCTATCATTATTATTATTTTTGTAAACTTTAAAAACTTTAATTTTTTTGTTCAAATGTCATATTTTTTAATTATTAACGGGGGAAGGGGGGGGAATTGTTTAAATGCACGAAAAATTTGTGTCCTTGATTTAAAATGTCTGACATCATGACAAAAGTTTTAAGCGATTATTTGGGGAAAATGTTCTTTTTTGTTGTTTTCTTTTGTTTGTTTGATAGTTCTTTAAGGTTCGTTGGTAAATATTCGAATGCTGCCTCATCATCGAGGTGTTGTTGGTGCATTCGAATCAGCTTCCACTCACAGTCCTTTACTACTCCTGTATGCAAAAACTGTGCTTGCAAGGTAGAGAACTGCATTTACAAGAGCGATTATCTATAAATAATACGTCACACGTTAAAATACTTTTAAAATAAGTTTTACAAGAAATTATATTTAATTTATCTACTCACTCCTGCTGCTAACAATTCATTATATCTATATTTGCTGTAGTTACTTTCATTGACCGTTACCAAAAGTGTAACAGCAGCTGCAAGGTATAGAACAAATGCAAAAACATGGTATAATAATTCCTGAAAGTATAAAAAAACATTTTTTAAAACTTACTTCACATTCAACTTTTTCTGCATTGATTTCTATATTGATAATTAAAAACAAATAATTATTATGTGATTCAAAATAATAATTTCATGGCTGTTGGGTTACAAAAAATAATAATAATAGTTTGATAATAATAAACCTTTATTTAATGAAATGTTTTAAAATAAAAGCAAAAAGGTTAAAAACCTTGAAGAAATGAATTAGTTTTTGCACGACAGGGTGTATAGTTCAGCCTTTAAGTATATAAAGGGATCCTAAAAAAAAAAAAAGGTCACATTAGAATATTCGTGCGAAAATATGTAAATTTATCAAAGGGAAAACTTTCTCCCCCCCCCTCCACAAGGTAACATTATTAGTTGGGTCGATGACCACAAAATAAAAATTCTCGTGTATGTCTATTAGAAGAGATTTTTATTTTATTTTTCAAATAAAGCACTTACGTAAAATGTTTTAGGTAAAATGGCTGCTGTTGCAATTGAAAGAATGCATGATAGTAAAAGTATGAATGTTCCTATCATAAACGTTGTTGTAATTAATAAGAAAAATAATTCTCTGCTGAATAAGGTTGTATACCTGCAGTCAGACATATTTTGTGCTAACAAACCAACGCATGCTGCTCCCAGAACCTTAAAAAAAAAAAATAAATAAATAAATAAATTGTATTTAAGACAAACAATAATTTATTTTAAAACCCTGACAACATTAATCGAAAAGTCTCACGTAAGCTCTTGAAAATCTCTCGTATTAGTTTGAAATTTCAGAATTTTTCATATTAAATTTCAACTTTTGAATGAAATTTATCATCTCCTAAAATTCCTACACAGTATAAGTTTTCCTTGACATAAAATTTTGCAATGTCAGTCGTTCCATAAAAGGAATTCTAATTCTTAATTTCTCTTATCGGATTCAAATTAAAAAAAAAAAAAAAAGAAACACAGTAATAATAATAATAATAAGTTTACTAGATAAAAAAAAAAAACAATTGCTTTATTATAAAACAGTTTTTTTTATTTAATTTAAAAATGTGCAGAAAATTAACGAATTACTATTACGTCATTAATTATAATAATAAATAAAATCGTTAAAAATTTATATTAAAGAAAGTAAAAAATCCATTTTAAATTAATTAACTTTTAAATATCTAAACAAAATAATAATTTGTTTTTCCGTTACAAAAAAGAAACTTTTAAAATAATTTAAAAAATTATCCAACGCAAAATTAACAATGTGTGCAAAAAACAAATGAAAACAAAAATGTCGTTTCGTTTCAATTATAATCTCGAGTCGAAAAGTTTTGAAACAATTGAAAGGTTTCATTGTTTTAAAAAACAAAAGCGTAATCAAATAGTCATTTTATATCGTAATTAATTAATAAGTTCGTTGTCGGCGTCTTGAAAAATAATATAAAATCTAAAACGCTTTCAAAAAACGGTTATTATAAAAAAAAAAACTTATTGATTTTATTAATATTTTTTGAGTTATTTAAATGTGCAAAAATATGAGAAAATAAATCATAATTAATTAACGGTTTAAAAATCAAAACAAAAAGAACAAAATTACATTTCTATTATTATTTGACTCATGTGTTTCATTTTGGGTTGTTAATGTTTTACAAGGTTAAAATATATTTATATATAAATCATTTAACTAAATAAACCTGAAATTTTATGTTTTTGATGAATAAAATAATTAGGTCATGGTTAATGATAAAAAAAAAAACTAACATTATTTTCATGATGGATAATATAAAAAGGTTGATAACTATTTTGTTGTTTCCAATATTGATAATAATAAAAGTAATATAAAGCTAATGTAAAAATATATATATATATTTTATATTTCTAGTAAAAAAAAGGATAAAAATAATGTCCTAAATTTATTACAATGAAAAAAAAGGTTGAAATGGAAAAGGTCAGATGTGTTTTGCAAAACACTTTAGCCTGAAAGGTGATAGATGAAATTTCTTAAATAAGGATAACAAAAAAACAGGTTAGAGACATAATAATTTTTTTTTTTTAAAGACAGAATTTAAATAATTATTGATTTTAAAAGAAGTAAATTTTTTTATAAATATATGAGTTTGCCAAAAATTCATATACAAATGATTTCCACATATAAAAGTGGGCGTTAAACGTTAAACATCACATTTTCGGTTGTCAATACACAAACAAAAATTTTGCGTTTGATTTTATCTTGTTATAAATAATTATTTTTAACGATTTTTAAAAAATTATATTTTCTTATGTTTTAAAGTACATCATAATAATAATATTTTTGAAAATGTCAGCTTATTAATTTAGGTCAAAAAAATTTTTTTTACTGTTGACCCAAATGATTTAATATTAATTCGTTTATATATTTTAACGGTTACAGTAATTACAATTCAAAAAGAAAAAAACGGTTAGAAATTATAAAGCAAAAGCAGTAAAATTTTTTTTTTTTATTAAACGGATGTAATCAACCTTGAATGTAATTCATTTAGTAAAAAAAAAAAACATTTACATAGAGTAAATAAATCGAATTGTGATGTGTGTAACGTCATCGAAGCAAATAAAAATTTTGTCATTTTTTTTTTTTTTTGTAACGCGACAATTACGCCATTTCGAACTGAAATGAAAAACAAACATGGCGGCTCGTTTATGGAGTTCAAAAATTTACAAATGATCGTAATCATTATTGAATACGATGAAATTTATTTAATTTTTTGAAAATTTAACCATGAAATCATTCGTTAATTATTTTTTTTTTCGGAAAAATTCTTTATTACGTGTGGTATTATTATTATTATTAAATTTATCTTCTTATCAAATTTATCAAAATCGAATTGATGTAGAATTTAGATACTATAGAGAAACACATTTATTATTACTCATATATATCAATTTTGATGATTATTCGTGTATTGTTATCGATAATAATAATAATAATAATGATAATTTACCGTTTGAAAAAATTTTAAAAGTCCAGGTACTGTTTTGAAATAACCGGTGTTGAGAAAAAATCCTGATGTTGTTACTGTTGTTGTTGTTCTTGTTACGTTAACCGTGTGTGACATTTTTATTAAAAAACCTAAAATACAAAAAAAAAAGGAAAAATTTCGTTATTATTATTATTATTATTATTATTAGGGTCACTCTTAAACACGACAAGGCTCTTATTTGTCGGGGGTTTTTAAGCATTTATCCCAGGTTTCTACCCGACGATTCCTTAGGGATAAATGCTCGAATTTCGTTTGTGCTATTTATAGAGTATTTTTATTATTATTATTATTATTATTACTGTATTCCATCTTCGATACGAGTCTCTCGTTATAGTTAATAAATTTTGATGGTTATGGTTTTATGAAACTATTTCGGTTATTAATTTCATTTCTAAAATAAAACGTGCAGTAAAATTTTATGCAATAAAAAAAATTGTTTTGAAAATTTTTACAGGAAAAAAAAAAAAAAAAAAAAATGGAGACTAACGACGACACTCCCTCAAAAGTTTATTAATAAAAAAAAAAAAAAAAAAAAAAAATTTCATAAACAAAACTTTTTAAGTCGACGCCTAAAAATTTTATGTTTGTTTTCAAATTTATTTAATTTATTGGTTAAATTTATGTTATGATAATGATAATGATTCTTACTGTTAACCCATATTTTAATTAATTTTAATCGAAAATAATTTTTTAATAACATATTAATGTTTATAACAAATGTTTTACAACAAGTTTTTTTTTTTTAAAGGAAAATAATTGTTTACTTAATAATTTATTTATAGAATTTTATTAATTATTAATATAAAGATTCAAGTTTAGAAAAAAAATTTCTATTTCAAAAGCAACGTTAGTATTATTATTATTTAATTTTATATTTCGCGAAACGTTTCTGTGTCAAAATGATTTTGATTACGTCATTTTTGGCGGACAAAATTAATGCATTTTAATTTTTAAAACGAAAGAGAGAAAAAAATCTATATATTTTTTTTGAAATATAGCCAATGACCGAAAAATGACTGCAGAATATAATATTAATAATAATAATAATAATAATAATAATAATAATAATAATAATAATAATAATAATATGTGGAAAATTAAATAAATATAAAATAAAAAAAAAAAGGTGAAAAATGATTGAAACGAATTTATTATTATTGAATTTGAGGGGGGGGAGGGTTGAACAAAAGTCACGCAAAGATTTTCCTTCCCTTCGTTCGTTGCTGCTGTTTAAAAAATAAATTCAAGTTGTTTAATAATAATAATAATAATAATAAAATTTTCCATTTGTAATTATCAGGTCGAAAATTTTCCAAAAAAAAACGTAATAATAATAATAATAATAATAATAATAATTTTTTATATTCGAATATTTTACGATTATTTTTTTTTCTTTTATTGTTTTCGACGAATAATAATTTAAAAGCGTTGGTGTTTTCGTCCATTTTTTTTTTTTTAATATAAAAAATTATCTTTACTGTTTAAATGTTTGTTTTATGTCATTAAATTCAACGTAAAAAAAAAATATTATTATTATTATTTACGTCGCCAACAAACAAACAAACAAACAAAATTAAATCTTTTAATTATTTTTTATTAATCTTTTAAAATGGATAGAAAAAACAAAAGTTAATAAAACTTTTTTTCGGTAAAATTAAATTAAAAATAAATAATTAAATATTTTTCTCTCTCCCCGCGCCCCTTCCCCCCCGGGATTTAATTTGTTAATAAACAAAAAAATCGTTAAGGCAGAAAAATTTTATCGAAACGAAATTTAAAAAATTATTAATAACTTTTAACGAAAAAATATTTAAAAATTTACAAACGTTATTAATAAGAATAATAATATATTTATTTACCTTATTAAATGTTTTTACAATAATAAATTATTACTCGTATACGAATAATGATAATAAATAAATTTATTTTAAAAAAAAAAAAAAAAAACAAAACAAAATAAATTCTTATGTTATGTTAGTCGACTTTACGTACTGACTGACTGACTGCTTAGTAATCCGGTTACCGCCCTTTTTTTACGTTCAATCTCATTCATGTGTTACCATATATAATCATATCGTCATAAGCTAAACAGTAAATTTTCTATTTTTCTTTTAGAAAAGTGGCATTAGGAAAAACTAAGATCGAATAATATATAAATTCGTATATGATCGCGCATTTTAGTAAATTGTTTTTCTCGGTCGCTTTCATGTTTATAAATATTACACGTACGTCATGCTCATTTGTTTATGCCCTTTTGTTATTATTATTATTATTATTATTATTATACGTCTTATTTGTTAAACAATTTGGAAGGGGGGAGGGGGAAAGGGGAAATTCTTTTCGTTTTTTTTTAATCTCATACCTGTAGTCAGTCGTAAATGAATTTTTTTTTTTAACTCGAATGAAAACATTTATTAGAGTTTATTATTATTATTATACCTGTTTGTGCACCTGTCGCGTTGTACCTAAAAAAAAAGAGATTAAGTTTAATTACGTAAAATTTAATGAAAATAAAAAAAAAAATTCAATGGTAATCAAATTCTTATTTAGGTATAATGAGATTTTTTTTCTTATATTCCTCTAAAAAAAAAAAAAAAAAACTAATTTTAATGTTTTTGATATGAGAAAATTTAAAGGTACTCTAGGTACTTAAGGTATTTGTATAGTTTTTTTTATTTCTTTGCGAGTTATTAAATAAAAAATAACCATAATAATAATAATAATAATTTGGTTTTTAAGGATCGATTTATAACGAACGATTTTTAAATGGGGAAAAAAGACAAAAACCTTAAACGTGATTTTATATAAAGAACGATGCATTGTAATCAACCTAGATTGTTTTTACTTAAAACCTGAATTTATAAAAGACAAATCAGGTATAGAAAATAAAAGAAATTTATTTTAACAAAACAAAACAAAACTTTATCATTTAAAAAATTTTATAAAATGGGGGGAAAAAAAAAATTATTTGATCGTAGGTTTTTGTTTGATTGATAGTTTTTTAAGTTAAACATTAATAAAATAAATTAAACAAATAATAATAATAATAATAATAATTATAATAACATTTTTGTTGTCGTTATTTATGTTTGATAAAAGCGTTTTTTTTTTTTTGACCCAAAACATAAGCTCAAAGTATTAGTTTTTGGTAGTTTATTAAAATTTACAAAAAAAAAATAAAATAAATAAATAAATGATAATAATAACAATTAATAGCAATATATATATATATATTTATTTATAAAAAAATTCAACTCGATCGATAAATAATTATTATTATTTATTTAAATATAAAATAATTAGAATTTCGTCGTCGTTGTTGTTGGTCTTTCACATTTAAAATAAATTAACATTTTCAATTAACATTTTTTTTTTACTATAAATTAAATTAATAATGATAATAAAAACAATGATACATATTTTTAATTTATTATAATATCGATAGTAATATATAAGTAATAAATAATTAATTTAATAAACTTATTTAATATTTGTAAGTAATAATAATAATAAAAATTTTTTAGTGCAGACTTTTTTTTAATTAATTAATTTTATTTTTTTATTTATTTATTAATTAATTTTTAATAGTATTATTATTATTAATAAAACTGGGCGATAGTTTTTTTTAGTTTAAACACACACACACACACACACACAACATTACTCATCGTCACGTGTATATAAAAAAAAAAAATTTACAAAAATTATTCAAATAAATGAATACATATTTATAATAAAAAAAAAAAAATAATAATAATTTTTTTGCGTTGTTGCGTTGGCAGTTATTAAAATTTAAATTTTTATTTATTTATTTATTTATGGTCCACTGTTGCTTTGAGAATATTTCCAATCTTGATATAAATAATAAACTCCAGCAGCATAAGCAATCGTGTTGAATAATCCAAAACTCTAAAACAAAAAATAAATAAAAATAAATAAATAAATTGGGGAGTTTGCGATTTTTTTTTTTTTTTTTTTACTTTTACTAAATTTTTATTTAATTATATTAATAAAAAGAAAGGGAGAAAGTAAATTATTAAAAATTAAATAAATTTATCTTGTGTGTGTGTTGTTATACCTGTTGTACCACCACCACCTGTATACCGGG